TTTGCAGTGCCAGACGGTAAACAGAAAAACAGCCCTTCTCACGCTTCTTTCAACAGCTTGCATGTTTTCAAGTAGCGTCCTCCCTTGTCAGTCTAAGGCGGTAATGTGAACTTTGTACAGCCGAATTTTGATAACGGTACAATTTTAATTAACCACTTAACGTAAATTTCACAACCTCAAAGAAGAGCCAATCACCTTATTCGAGATACACATCATAAATGGATGCTGATCCTCATTACTGAAAGAGTATCTGCAATTCCTTTCCGGCGCTTTATCCTGGATAGGCACGTGTGCTAGTGATTTGCAGAGGCTTAAATAGATTTTTGATTTGGAAGCTAATTTAAACAAGTGGTATTTTCCTAACACACAAAGGACGTTTGAAACATAGAAATTTGTTATTGCTTCTTTTATGTGGTGGACAGCAACCTTCCGCGTCTGTGGGCGGGATGAAAACCAAATAGACAGGGGCACGTGGAGATCTACGACGATCTCTTTTCCACTCACTCTCACCAACAAAAATCTACTTCGCAGCTGCCATGTGGGGAAGAGTATCGAACACTACCTTATTCTTTTAAAAAAATTAGCAAGTGTGTTGCCTATTTGCAAAGCAAATTCATCTCAAGGACAGAGCTCCACCTCGGCCAGGGTGGGCCAATTTGGTTGTGCATGAGAATAGGTTCACTTGGTTAGGCGCTGTGTCAGGCTAGGTTCGACCTGAGTACGAAGGAACGTGTTGATCAATTCTACTCACTCCTTTTTGCACGATGCATCACGGTGTTGAATGTAAACAATGTTTGCTAGGAAAACAAGCGCTGTGATTGCCGCTGAGGGTTTTTATGAAAGGTAGATTGAAAGGATTTATCCCAAAACTTTCATGGCATGTGGAAAGATAACTTCTGTAATATATATTTCACGGTATGTATGCCGATGGGGTGAACATTCTATAACTTTATGTACCGGTTAAAAAAAAAGAAGAAAAACGTCATATTAAGAGCACAACCAGAATAAAACTTTAAAGATTGCGACACTAAGTTGTAGCAATCATTGGCATTTTAGGTGACTAACCTTTGAGGCAGTTTTTAGAATAAGATAAAACATGTGACGGGTAATGTCGTGAAAACCGGCCAGGTCTCCGAAGAGCGAGCCAGGCAACATTGGGGATGTCTATGTGGAAACAGTTTACAGATGTGAAGTGGGGAACGATGCCGGGACGCTTGTGTGTGTGTGTGTGTGTGGGGGGGGGGGGGGGGGAAGGGTAGGGGGTCGTTGTTAGGGAAGAGGCGGAATTTGTTTTGTTTTGACTGGTTTTCGCGCCGTTTTGCGTTCAAAAACGCGGGAGTTGAGCGCCAGACATATCGCCTCCGTGCCTTGACACCCGGACACCGAGGAAGACTCCGTCTGGGCACCGAGTGGCTTCAACCTCCGTCTTCCACGGGACTGTTCTCTTCAGAGTGCCCGCTGCAACGCACCGTTTGGAGTTCGTCCACCGCACCCGGAGCACCGCATCGCGACAGAGCATTCCGCAGTGCCCCGGGTTTACAAGAGGCCCCGACTCCAAGTGCTCCCATGCACGTCGCGACGGACTGCTTCCTTGTGCGATATTGTCCATATTTGTTTTGGTTGTTTGCCTGGTATGTCGCTCTTCTCCTGTGGAATGTTGTAGTTAACTTGTTTCATTATCTGCCATTTGTTTAGGCTTTCTTGTTTTTTCATTGTTTTTTTTTTTTGTGTGTGTGTGTTCTATCTGACCTTAATCTATCTATTAAAAGTGTTTCTTACCCAATTCAGCTGGAGCTCCTTGTCTGTGTCGCCCGCGTCCCCTGAGCCCTCGGCGGGATAGCGGAAGCCCGCGAACCCCCGTTGCGACCAGCGCCACCGCTGGGTCGTGACAGACAGACAACTAAAAATTTAGTTGTATACACACGGCGTTTGGAAGTTTAGCCTACTTTTTTAGAACGCTGCGTGTAAGTAAAATAACGAAATGTTTTGTTTTTGTTACTTAAAAATAGAGGTGGATTGTAAACAAACCGCAAAAAAGACTACTTGTTTTACACAAAAACAAATGCGGAAAATATATCCAAACTCTAGCGGTTAAAACTGGTTTCAACCGGTATGAATTGTTCTTTTTATCGTCCGGAACTGAACCGGAACCGAACTGAAAGCCGTGGACCCAAACCCGAACCGATCAAAATTTCGGTTCGGCACTCTGCAACAGACCCAACATTTTGTACCCTGACATAACAAAATCGGCCTTCTTGGTGCCGAAGTAATTTTCAGCAGAACCGCTTCTTGAAGAATATACGCTATGTTGGGGCCAATTAATGACTTTCAATCATAAAAAAACGGCTTCTAACAAAGTTCAGCATGTCTGCGTGCAGTGTTGAATTTGTGTTGCTCTGGTGGAGTCGAAGGCACTGAAGCCGAAGTGTTTGTCAACGCGTAAGCTTCTGTCAACATTAATCACGTCTCGCGACGCTTCACGTATACAATCACCGACTATGCAGAGCCACCGTGATTCAGAACAATGTTGTAGTGTCTGTAATGGCCTGCTACGACACCACACGCGCCTCGGACTCCTGAACCGAGGAGTCTGTGACGCACTACCGGGGATATTCGACACTATGCATCCCAGAAACCCGGCTGTGTGGCAGCATAAACATCTCAGCTCGTCCTGAGGGGGTCCAAGCCGAGGAGTAGAGGGGTACGAGAGACAGGAGGGCATAAAACTATCTGAAACCAGCGGCCAGAGCGGACAGGAAATTCGTCCGCAGCTAAATTGCCGACGTATTATTCAGCTTTAATGAATTATGTTAGTAGAGACGACATCAGTTTTTACATGTCTTACTAGCGTAGGGGGGGGGGGGGGGGGGTCATAGTCCTCAAGGATATGGTCATTAATGAAGGACGGTATACGTTAAAAATAAAAAAAAACTCAAGATTACCGTTTTCTGGCGGGTTGCCATACACCGAACAAACTGCATCCAATTGACGTGTTGTGCGTCTGCGTTCCTTTCTATCTAAAGATATATATAGGTTGTTCGTCATTACCATATGAGCCTCCGCTCGCATACAAGATTCTGTGAACGGCTGTCACTCGGGACGATAACTATGTTTGTCCAACAACATGAGCCAAGTCTGCTTACAGCCATGGGTGGGCGTGCATGCGAGAGATAGAGAAAAACAGTCCCGCTGAACGAGACAAGCTGCGTGATACCGATAAAGGAAGACATAACAACATCCCTTTGGGCGCCGGGGACGTCTCTTGTCGCGGGGCGATCTGTTGGAGGCGAGCTTGGAACGGGTCCTTAGTTCACCTAAGTCCGACACCTACTCAGTTGAGATTTAAAACATTATACTATTAAAATGCTACAAATAAAAACGGGTTCACAAGAAAAAACGAAATGCTCGTGTTCTTTTCTCTTTTTCGGTTCCCGGAGTCATGGATAGAGTCACTGATAAAGAGAGCTAAAGGTACCATGTTGTGCTGCTGTAGATTTTTGAAATGCCGATTGTTTTTATTGGTGTTGCTGCTGCCGTTATAAACCCGTGGAAAAAAAAAAGAAAAAAAAAAGGATAGCCGAGAGATGTGTGGGATCGGCGTAATGTACAACATGCGCCTTTCAGCTCAGCGTTATTATACCTAAACTGAATAAGAGTGCACTTAAGTCCCTTCTCTCGTTGGAAGCTCATAAACCCTAAATTGAATCTAAAAGCCTAACCGTGTACGGAAATGTGTAAAAAGGTACGCGACCTCATGATCGCTTGCTAAAACGAATAGCCCTTTTTTTATTTTTTTGCATACAAAGTATACATCAATTGAAGCAGTCAGGACGCGGCCGTTTTGTAGTCCCCAGGTGTGAAAGAATGAACAAAAAACCATCGGCGCTTGTAGCACCAAGTCCCACGTATCAATACGAAATTTTATTGCTACGCGTTTGTATCAGGTTGAGATTTCTCAGCTCGAACTCCCTTGACTGCGTAGTTTCCTTGTTTACCAGCCAACGGAGCACGGCTAACCGCTTCGCCAGGCACATCAATTGGATCTAATAAAACAGCGACACTTGACCTTGAACTGATACTCTTCCGAAGAACCACAGTAAAAACCAAAGTTCAACTACACGCGGAGCATACTATGCGCTCCCCTTTAGGTGCTGAATAAGGTACTGGCATTACCATGGAAGATTACTTGTACGCTATTTTATCAAAAATGTACACCCATTTCAATTACAATATATATATATATATATATATATATATATATATATATATATCTTTCCAACCAAATGTTGTAAGAACTAGTTCGCGCAGAGTATACTATCTTTGTGCAAAACTGCTTTTTTCTTCAGATGAGCCGCGCATATTGAAGCTCTCCGCCCCAGTCGCGTTTCTATTTATACTGCGCAGTCGTGTATTTACATTTCTGCAAGGAAGTGACAGTTCCTGACATGTGTGTTCAGTGTTCGCCATTTCGGAGGTATCTTCTGCGTTTGCCATTTCATAGTGTTATTTTCACTGGACACTCAACAACTAAAGTGTATGTGCGTGTGTGTGAGTGTGTGAGTGCTTTTGTGTTTTTTGTGTGTGTGTTTGTTTTGTATTTCGCGCTGTTTTAGCTGACACTTTAAAAACTCAAAGCACGCTGGATTTGCTCCCATTCGCTTAGGGATTCATTCGCGCATCTTCCTTGGCCGATCTGACAAGTTGCCGCCACATTGCTAAGACATCATACATATACAAAATAGTCCGGAGACACTGGCTGAGGCCCTCCTTGTGTGAGTCACATTGGTCATACAAGGACTTCCTGCAGACATGCTTGTGTATGTCCGCAGAAGATTCTGTCATCATGTCTGCAGATTGTCTTTCGTACGATGAATGGCAGTGTAACTGCGGCTTAAAGCTTCTGCAACCGCTTAGCCCCCGAGATCGGTCGCGTTGCGGAACGCATAGTCAAGAAGCATCGCCGCGTGTCCCCAACCGATGTTGTCCGCACGAAGACTCACCTTCGACGAAGAGAAGCAGGACGAGGACTCGCTGACGTCGCTGTGCGACGCGTCGTCGTCCCACGAGATACTGGACACGGTCGACGACAGCGAGCACGTGCTGCAAGAACGTCCGAGGGACAGGTAATCCCGGACGTCATCATCGATGGACAAGAGGCCGCAGCCTTCTTCCTCCGGGACGACTTCGGGCGACGCCTCGCTGCTGCCGCCGCTGAAGTCACTCACCACCACACTGGGCGCACTGAGCACTGGACACGACAAGGACAGACACTGAGCTAGGGGCCGCTTTCGATCCGATGGCAGACTGGTACGGTGGTGGGAGCCGGGCGGCGGCGACGACGCCGCCGCCGTCGACACGGCACATCCGCCGCCGACCAGGTCCACTGCGGAGTCGGCACTACAGGACCGTCTCGTCTTGGGCGGCTGGAGGTAGAGCTGCGAGTCGAGCACAGAGGCTAGCGAGGACGGGGAATCGTTGCCCTGACCGCTGTCCTCGGACGAGAAGGTCGTGCTGTCAGCGGGAGTCATGACCACCGACGGTCTGGCGGAGGTGGTTGCGGCGGCGGAGGCGGCGCCGCCACCGAAGGCTCGGCGCCCGAACAGGAGCAGGGGCGTCTTGGCGAACACGTCCCTGAGGAGTTGGCAGGGACGCCAACGCTTCGGGCACCGCACCGAGTCCAGTGAGTAGGCCTTTGAGGCACGCGCACACCGGGACAACTCTTTCCGCGGCGGACTGTTGTGGAAGCTCCGCGAACGAGCACGGCTGCTACGGTTCACTTGCTCCTCGATTTCGACCACGGCCACGTTGTTGTTGTTGTTGTTCTTGTGGTTCTTGTTGTTGTGATGGTGGCTGGCGGCGGCCCGGCGAGGCTGTTCCATCGCTGCGATCATTCACGACGAGCACATGAGGAGCCGCGGTCTCACATAGTCGCCCACTGGGATTCCACGCCGCCGCGTACGTCGCACAGCAAACAACGCGCGCGCACACCCCGACACACATACGCACGGCTCGCACACGACGTCTGTCAGCTGTTGCCGCGTCGAGAGGCGTTCACTCGGGAATCCATCGGTGACGAAACCGCGATAGGGGGTACCCTCGCCAAGGAGAGCGAGCGGCCGGTCTGGCGGGGGCTTGCCTCACGTACCCACGACGACGCCGGTGCTGCCGGTCGCTCTATGTCCGGTAGCGTACGGCGTACGAGGCGCGCTCGACGCCGCGCGGCGCCCGCTGGAGCTGCGACGACCCAATTATTGAGTTCTGAGCGGGAGCTTTTCTTTCTCTCGTTGTTTTCGCTGTATATCCGTAATTTGGTACTGCGCCTCCCCCCTTCGAGAAGGAAACGAGCCGGCCAGGCTCAAAACAGAACGGCTTCCGCCTTGCCCCCCACCCCGGGAACTCGGAGACGACGACGTCACGACTTGCCGAGCAAAGTCAGCGAAGTCCTACCGCCTTGGGCCGCGAGAATGTAGGTGTGTGTGCGTGTGTGTTGGGGAACGCGCCGCTGCGTTGCTGCGCCTGTGGCTGCTGCGACGTTTCGCCGAACGGTTGGCGTGGAAGCGCGACGACTCCCGGTTTTATTTATTCCTTTTCTTTTTTTGGTCGAACACGTAGCGTACGCATTTCATCTCCTCTCATTTCCACTCTCGCCCTCCCGCCTTCGCCGCGAGATAAGGTTACTCGACGATCAGGACGAGTCGACGGTATGTTGGCGTGGGTCAAATCCCACGTTCCATGTGGGTTTGTCCTCTTTTGCCTTCGCTCAGATGCTTATAAAAAAATGCAATTTCTGTACACCTGTACCTAGGGATGAACGGACTAATGGCGTACGTATGTCAAAACCAGATCAGAAACCTACAGATATATAACAACGTTCGACACACTTCGGAATAGTCGTAGAATGGAGGATAGTGGCGCCATCTTTTGATCCTGTAACCAAATGTCGATATTAAAAATAGAGGCGCTAAAAACGCTACGCTTTACGGCTCGGAGTTAGCGCAACCCCCGAGTGTCTCACTACGCAGTCCATCGGAGTGTATCTCGATTTAAAAAAGGAGGGATGACACTTGTCCGAGGCTGGGGCGCGAAAAAGAAAGTCTGAAGTGGTAAAGGAGGGAAAAAGGGGGACAGAAAACGTCTCAATCTGCTTATCTGCTGCGTTTGGTTAGTCATCTTCCTTGTATAGCCACAAACTCAAGCCACCACCCGCAGAAGTGGAACATCCTACTTTTCAAGAACCCGCAAGAAAAATACCACGCACTTACTCAAGAAAGAGATCACAGCGAAAGATTGAAGGAATAACTACTTTGTTGTCATGTTCAAACAAAAACCCAAAGACAGGGGAAAAACGGATAGAGGACAAACACAACCAAGTCTTTGCGACTTCGCTAAGTTTGTCCTCTTTTAGGTTTTCCCTTGCCTCGGGGTTTTTCAGTATGACCTTGCACCAGCTCGACCGCGAAATAAATCTAATTTCAGTAACTACTTTGTACTTTTTCGAGCCTAAAGAGGTCACCAATCGTCATGGTACCTACATAGAAAACAGAAGTCGCGCTCTAAAATGCAATGGTTTAAAACTTAATAAAACAATCACTGATGTTTTCTTTATATATCCCTTTAACACCCAAATTTCACTATGCAAACCTTGACTAAGAATGGCCCTAGTCATCCCAGACTTCCCATATCCCACATGGGACATTCACAAAACGTCCATGGGTACCTTTATTCGGACGTCCTAACACACACGTTAAGTGATATCCTTGGGATGTCCTCCTGCCAAGCAATGTACAGTGGAGGACCTCTGTGGGACATGCACCGCAAGACGTTTTAGATGTCAGCAAGGGCAAGACAAGCGTCAGGTCGAATTTCTCACTGCGCCGATTATTTAGCGGCTGAAGGATCAGAAAATAAAGGAATTTTTCGTAGCTTTGTGCACGCAGAGGAGGCGAGGGTCATGCGAAGTAAAAATCAAACATGAGTATTTGCATACCACCCTCCACATTGGGATCTTGAATATCGTAATATGGTGTACTTCCGAGGTGAAAAGGTACTGAGTTAAGTCAAAATTGAATCCCACGCGCGTTTTTGAGTGATTTCTACTGGTACGTGTTACCACACAATCGCCTTTACCACCTCGAAGTATTGAAATACGGTGTATGTCACCGCACATGACCGAATAAAGGACCGGAGGAGAATACCGGAGCGAGCTGAAGACCCGATTTTGATGTGCGGTTTTCACACAGAAAGGGTTTTCATTTCATGTTTGCCGATATTTTGTTTATATTTCGGAATGTTATAACAAAATACATCACTCTAAGCTCAAATACTGTGTCAGGGGATTTTTAAATTGATCTACCCGGAAGAAAATTTTCAGCAGTTGTGACATCTAAAAATGTCTTGCCTCAATATTACACAAGAAAAAAAATTATGGACATTACGACATTCATTATTTTGTAACTAAAAAGTGGCACACACCCTTTTATACTCTGGAAATATTCGTTCAAAATATTGTTTTAAGCTTGGAACCGCTTAGCCACACATTATCAAATGTTCTCCTGTATGTTGCCTTCCTTGGGTGAATTATTATAGTGTTGAACCTTTTTCAAGGCTATTCTTTAAACGATCTGGTGAACGCTTGATATGTGTACACCGCCATATTGTTGTTGAGCCAGTAAGGCACCGTGTACTTATTTCTTGCACTATTTGAATTTTAATATTTCCTCCTTTCCTTTTTTCTCATTGAACATGAATAATTTTATTACTTAGAAATACTGAAGCATGCAGAACCTCATGTTCCTATTGTATCATGGCCGTATATATTCCCGGTGTCATTTTAACTGAAGTCGTGTTCTAGTGTTGCAATGTTAAGCAACATTGCCACGTTTTATGAAGTGATCAGATTTAATCCATGTGGATCTTATTTGAATTGCTTCAGTTGTGTAGCATACCTTTTTATGGAAGTACAAAACGCTTGGCACAATTGCTCGGATGACTGTAGAACCTTGAAGGAAAAGTTGGGATCTAAAGCGTGCATGTTTCTGCCGATTCTAGCAGCATTAAAGCAGGTCCCAGCACCAGATTCGACGTCCGAGAACGTCCTATCGAAATCCTAAAAGGCTCCCGTGAGATATCCCTGGGAGCTTCCCGGGGCATACTTGGGTGTTTCAAGGAGGATATATTTGGGACCAAAGAGGAACATGTTTGGGATGTCCAAGGGACATCCCATACATGCTGAAAGGACGTCCTTAGAGTGTCATAAGGATGGCCTGTGTCGTTTCTTGCTTTGCTCATTCAGCAAGGAGAAAGGGTGCTCAAGGCTAAATATCTATCGAGTGCTTAAAGTCAGGAGGGTCTCGGGGAATCTCAGACCCCCCCCCCCCCCCCCCCCCCACGGATTTCGACAGGGGGTCTGAGATCCCTTTGGGTAGGAGATCCAACCGTAGCGCCCCTTGCGGCGTAGTTGATAACTGGACCCATGGGTACAACATGAATTATTTGGGCGTGTTTCTGACGCAGCGTTTGGATGTGCCGGTCAAACGCTGACACAGCCGAGCGTTGTGTCAGCATTTGGATGCATGCGCATGTTATTAGTTTAAATGCAAGCTGCTTGGCAAAATATGTCCTACTAAACACCGCCCCCCCCCCCCCTTGAAGTGATTACAACAGAGACCCTCTGTTACCGGTGGGAGACTTTAAGCGCTGTAATGAACTACCCCAGATGAAGTGGTTACATATGCTAATACTTGTATTCCCAAGCTACGTACGTAAATGTCATTTTCGAGGTAGTCCTGGCTATGAAATCAACTAATTCAAGGGTATAGCTCCTTAACCGCATAAAGAAAAGAGAGAGGAAATATTTTTTTAGTACAAACCCAAGCAGCACAAAATTTGGCCAAGCGTTAAGGCCCGCTACAGACGGGGCAATTGTGCCCAGCAACTTGACGTCGCAACGCCAGCAACACGGGCCGCCCGCGTTCACACGCAGCAACCGAATTTCTACGGCTTGCCATCATCATCATGAAATTTGATTTTTCTTACACTATTTAGACGCACAACTACGCGCTAAAAACGTGTTTTTTTATATCTTTCAATAGTGTTGAGAATACTAACTAATCTTTCTGAAAAGGTTTATTTCCGAAAAAGATCCATTTCAAACCTGAACCAAGTTTATAGCTGTCATCATCACCACCACAGGGGTGTCACGTGAAAATATCGCGTCCCTGATTGGCTGCAACCGTTTCAAACGTCTTCGAATTGCTCCGAGTTGCTCGTTCGTTCGAGCCGGACCCGATCTCAGCAATTCGTGTCGATCTAGGGAAAGCTAGGGAACAACCCGCCAGCAACCTCAAAATTGCTGGAAAAGTTGCCCCGTCTGAAGCTGGCCTAACCAATGGCTGGCGATGGTCTCCTGGCCAATTGCCAAAGAGTGGCCATTCACCAGCCAATACTTGGCCGATGGCTGATGGTAAGTGGCCATTGGCCAATGGCCAAAGAAAGGCCAATCATCAGCCAATGGCTGGCCACTGCCTGACCACTGGTCGAAGGACCATTTCCAGCCACTGGCCAATTATTGCCCAAATCTGTGCTGCTTGGGAATACAGTTTTATTAAGATTATATACTGCGTAACAGATATCACAAAGATTAACTGTAAAGAACCAAGGAAAACACTTAGATACTTGGCACACTTATTCCCTTTGAGAAGTATAACTATAGTAACTGACAGAAAGAGAAGGGCAATGCGTGTCTTTCGGACGACCGACATCCGCACGTGCTCGCTGCCTTCCTCCGTGCTTCGGCTGCTCGCGCGCGCGCTCGAGGCGCACGACATGTCGAAGCATTACCGAAGGTAGGAAGTTCTCGCAGGAGGCGGAACAACTTTAGCTCCTCCCTGCCGTTCTTACCTTGTCAATGTCTAAACCCTCTTAACTTCCAAGAAGGGGAGCGCTCTCGTATATAGATAACAGTTAAGATACAGAAAACGCACAAAAAGAACGTCGACAGGAGGCTTTTCAAATTTCCAGTTCTCAACTGAAACGCTTATTTTTTATTTTTTTTTATTTATTTATTCACTTACCCACAGCGCCAGTGGCATTACAGTGGGGTGGAAGTGTACATCAATGTGATTCATTTAAGCAAATATAAAGTAGCATAACAGAACGCGAACAACAGAACGCGCACATGCATACCCAGTACACGGGAAAAAAAAAAAAAAAAAACACTTTTTACAATGCAGCAAAAAAAGCGTCATTGTCCAAAATATCAACAACCTCCGAAGGCAATTGGTTCCATTCGCTAATAGATTTGGGGAAAAAAGAAGATTTAAACTGGTTTGTATTACATTTATATTCACGTACCTTTCGTTCGTGATCGACACGATGAGAGATATAATGCGGGGGGAAAATATAGTCTTCGCGCTGTATACCAGTTCTGCGGTGGTAAATGTTATGAAATAATTTTAGCCGTAGCTTTTTCCTTCTTTTTTCGAGAGATTCCCAGCCTAAGAATTCCTTCAGACTTGTCATGCTGAGTCGCCTGTTATAATTCCCGGAAACATATCTAGCCGCTAAGTTTTGAACTCTTTCAAGTTTATTTTTATCAACAGCAGTTGGTGGGTCCCAGACTGTACTCGCGTA